TCTCTCTCTGCGCCCCTTGTTCAGTCACCCCGTGTCTCTCTCTGCGCCCCTCGTTCCCTCAGGAATGGGGAACGTTGATCGGAATAGCACAGGTGTTAATCAGCAGTTTGCATCTCAGCAAAAGCCTAGCTCTGCATTTACAAATGAGCATCTCTCCTGTGAAGCAGCAGTTTTAACATCCTGTCCCAGTGAGGCCCGAGTCATGTGGTCCTCCTGGCTGGAGTGACGAGTCGAACAGACACACAGGTGTCAGGCAGACAGATCCCAGCACAGTGGTGCTGCTCCCAGCGTGTGAAACGGGAGTCTGGTTCCAGCTGCCTTCTCTTGATTTGTTTGTGCTCTGCTGAGCCATCTGGGCACTTTTCAAAAATCTTTTGGGGTTTCTAAACTTTTTTTAAATCGTTCGTAGTTAGAAATGTGTATAGCACAGTGACCTAGAGTATGTGAGGGAGATTAAACAGTGCTGGTCCATCTTATCCAGTACACAGCCTCTTAGGTTCATGTTTCAAGCGCTTTGGAAATGAAGGCCTGCTGAACGTGTCTAATTGAGTAACGAGGCCGGTTCAGCCGGGGGGGAGATGAAGGCCGGAGGTTTTCTGCCCTTCCTTTGGAAGTCAGATCTTTCGTCTCCGCTGTCGACACGAGTCATCCCGCTGTGAGTCAGAGCCTCGCCCCCGTGCCTCTGACCTGGGCCGCGTTCCTCTTCCAGGACCTGGGCTACAAGGGAGAGATCGGCTACCAGACCTTCCTGTACAGCAACGAGCCCGAGATCCGCTCCCTGCTCATGTTCCTGGTGGAGAGGCTGCGGCGGGAGAGTGCCGAGTCATCGGACCAGCCCGCAGGTACCCCTCCCACACGCAGCAGTAACTGGGGGGGCCGGCTCGGAGCTCCTGCCCCCTGCAGTGAGGCCCGTCGGTCCCAGCGGGCCGGATCGTCGCCCAGTTGTGCAAGAGGGATTCCCGGGAAACGGGTGTGTGTGGGGTGGGCTTCCTGCCCTGCTGTGCTGGGAGCCCTGGCCGGGAGGAGTGGCTCTGGTCGTGGGGGTGGTTTTAAGCTGGACAGGGGGGAAAGTCGGTAATCCCTGCGTCTGCTCTTGTCGCTTGGTTTTGCCAGGCAAGTCCGCCCTCCTGCAGAGAGCGATCGGCGCCAAGATCAAAGCCCAGCTGTCTGTGCCCTGGGTGCCGCCTTCCTGCCGGGTGCCCTTCCTGTGCCAGAGCCAGGTACCGCCGCAGCGCGGCCGCTTCCTCTCTGTTCTTGCGGGGGCGTTGGCGCTGGAGAGGCAGCCAGCCGGGGAGTATCTGTGTGTCTTGGCTCGCCTGCAGTGTGACCCTCGCGCTGCGGCGCAGGCTGTGAACTCTGACCTCTTGCTGCTGTTCTTTCCAGACTCCCGGCTCCTTGCACGGTTTCCACGCGCGGCCGTTAAGTTTACCTCAGAGCTCAAAAGTCAGCAGGACAACAACGAAAGGTAACTTGGCGAATGTTCTATGGAAACAGCAGACAGTCCTGCGTGTCTCTGTGGCTCCTGGTGTCTGAGGGGGAGGTGTCGGGGCTGTGCAGGCGTTGTCATGGGGGGGATCGGTGAGTCTGCTTTATTCCAGAGCTGCACCAGCTGCTTACTGGCTTAACTGGAGCGTTTGAACAGCTCCTCCCAGCCCTTCAGGGGCTGCTGCCTTAAACAGACCAGGAAAACCTGCAGAGTCACTGAAGAGCCTTCCGAGGCCAGGAAAGGCTGCAGCGAGTGTTTTCACTTGTGTTTCGAGTTGGGCAGAATACCAGCCTGTCTCATCTGCTGGAGATGAGCTCATCATTCTCTTCACGGGGGGGTGGGTCAGTTTACTCTGCAAATTCTGAGCTCTGGTATTTTGAAAATGATTTTGGATGCCTATATCCACGGAAAAGATAAAAAGTTCATTTCAGAAGTTCCTGTTCATTTCCACTTGATTTTTCAATCATCCGCCCTTGTGATTCCCATTAAGGAGGGGGGATTGGGAGCAACGAGCTCGTTAAAGGGAGCTGCTGTCCACATTTCTGCATGAACGCTGGGCAGGGTTGCGTTCGAGCGCTGTGGTCCCCCCGGTCCCTGGAGCCGGGGAAGCTCAGTGCTGTCGTTCTCCCGTCGGTGCCCTCAGAGCTGAAGGAGTACTGCCAGGAGCACCTGCCTCCCGTGACTGCCCAGATGTCCCAGCAGCCATCCGTCCCCGCCTCCCTGCTGGAGTGGCACGCAGCCGAGCTCAGCGCCGCGCTGGAGTGGGAGGGCGAGTGGAACAGCCAGGGCCTGGTGTCCCGGCTCACCCCCGAGGTACCCCAGACGCCCGCACCATTATGGAGGTTTGCAAGAGCAGGTAGAGCCGACAGCGAGTCCCTTGGAGCTGACTGGGCAGCGTGAGGCTTTACCCTCTACAGCACTTCAAGTCTGCTCGCGCACAGCTTGTGACCAAGGCTCGGATCACTGTCGTCTCGCAAATATTAGTCAAAGCTGTTATAATAGTAGAAAACGCCAATGGAGGCTCTGAGTAAACTGTTGAGGATGATGTCCAGGACTTCTGCTCAGCAGTGTGTGTTGTCATACACTTGCATTTTGGTAATGATTCCATATTGTCTCTGATTTCCAGACTATTTTAGTGAAGTGTAAAAACTTAAGCTTTTCTTCCTGTCTTCTCAGCAGTTCCGCTCTGTTTTCGACATGTTGACAGATTGACAGATGACAGTTGACAGATCTTGGCTGCTTTCCAGCGGTTAAGGAAGGGTCTGGACCCAGTGGCCCATTGTGCAAGGAGACCAAAGCAGCCCAGACGGGCCACAGACCTGCCCTTCCTGTCTCTTTCCAGGAGTACAAGGCTCGGAAACGACAGCGCTTTCGGAAGAGGATCCAGGACCAGCTAAGGCACGCCGCCCAGTCTCGCTCGGACTCCCAGCATGCCTCGCGCTCCAGCTCGGACCTGGCCGACCTGCTGCGCTCCTTCACGGGGGGCGCCGGGGGACGGGACGTCCTGGCCAAGGGCACCCGCTTCACCCACACGGAGAAATTCGCCTTCACGCAGGTGCCCGCTCGGGAACGCACACGCGGGGCTCGCCTTCTGCTGCTGCGCTGTTTACATGCTGTTGACGGGCTTGAAACAGATAAACCTTCTATCAGTGGGTGGCGTTACAAGCCTTTCAGGCACCCTGCAGCTCCCAGCTGGCAGCAGTGTGAGCCTGGCCAGGACCTGGAGACCTTCCAGCAGCAGCCTTAGCTCTCCCAGGAGAGGCGTTAGTGGGGCCAGTAGGGGGCGCTCACCCTGCGGTCCATGTGGGTCCTCATGCCCCAGTATAGTGACGGGGACACTACTGTAAACAGGTGCCATCCTTGAGATGAGACATAAAACCGACTCTTTGTGGTCATTAAAAATCCCAGGGTGTTTCTCAAAAAGAGTACTGGTGTAACCCTGGTGTCCTGGCCAAATTTCTCATTGGCCCTTATCAATCATGGCCTCCTAATAACCTCCATCTCTGAACTGGCTTCATCACTCTGCTCTCCTCCCCACTGAGAGCTGGTGTGTGGAGCATCATCCAGGTGGGTGCTGCACACTGCTGGTGATGGAGGGGAGGCCCCAATACCTGTAAAGCGCTTTGAGTGGAGTGTCCAGTGTTCAGTGAGAAGTTTCAGGCCCTCCACGCTGGCAGTGAGATGGGGAGACTCTGGGGTCCCGGTGAGGCGGTCAGTACTGTGCTGCGTGTCGGGGAGCTTCTGCTGGCGTGAGTCCCCTGGGGTTTGACCAGGCAGTGGGTTGCAGGAGCCGGAGAAGGCCGCCCAGCAGATGACGACGGCGGCCGAGTCCCTGCCCAGCTCCAGGAGGACCGAGCAGGACCTGCAGGCGCAGCAGGAAGAGGAAGTGACGTCGCTGCAGGGGCAGCTGGAGCAGCTGTCGTTGCGGATCGAGGAAGTGGGCGCTGACGTGAAGAAGATCACCGTCGCCATCAGTCAGGTGGGGGGCAGCTGCGCTCATGAAGCGGTGTGAGTGTTGGTGCTGTGAGTAAGGAACTCCTGGGCCTTAATGGTGAGTGTCCCCGGTCCTGGTCCATCTGTGGTCCGGCTGGTGGTTCCGGTCCAGCCACAGGTGCAACACCAGCACCAGCACCCTGCAGGTGTTCAGGGTCCCTGCAGCTGAAGTTGTACAAAACTTTCGATTCTTCCCAATTAAGGATTGATTGGACCATATTGCACGTTATAGCAGTTTTAGAACGATTCTCCTGCAGTGTTAGAGTGGGGATCCCTCTTTAACAAGGGCTCCTTGGTGTGAACTATTGCCTAACCTCTACATTACTCCCCACTGCCATTGTCTGTACTTCCAGTTTGAATTCTATCTGAATTCCAGTTTGATCATTGTTAACTTATTGGGTCTTATTACAGGCCAAAGAGGAAAAGTTGTTTTTATATGGATGTTGGTACAGAGTGCTTTATGTAACACTGTTCTTGTAGAACATTTTAAGGTCCGGAGTGCGAGGTGAGCTTTCTGTGTCGTGAAAGACAGCAGGTTGAGAAGATGTAGCAGGCTTCTGGGAATTTTAAAAGCCGGTGGAGTGGTCGCGGGATCTGTGAAACAATAGTGCGCCACTCTGCTACCCATCGCCTGACAGCGGAACCGGCGTCTGTCTGTCTGTGTGTGTGTGTGGAAGGTGTCGGACGAGCTGAAGCAGAAGGAGCTGGGCAACGCGGAGAAGGAGCAGTCCCTGAGGGTGAAGAAGCAGACCATGGACCTGCTTCCAGACGCAGAGAACAACCTGGACAAGCTGCAGGTGAGCGGGGCTGCGGTGTGGGTGCTCATGGGAAGAGGGCGCGATGGATGGAGCAGGAGCCTCGTCATCTGCACTACAGAGCGCGCGTCGTGTGGGTCAGGGAGTTGGGCGTGCCGGGCGGTTTCTTCAGTTGCCAGCCCCGCGCTGGGCTGCGTGGCTGATGCTGGAGACGTGCCTGTCTGGTTGCAGGTGCTGGTGGAGGGCAGTGCCAAGAGGGTGGTGAGCCTGGCGTCGCAGTGGGAGAAGCACCGCGCCCCGCTGATCGAGGAGCACCGCCGGCTCAAGGAGCTGTGCAGCAGCCGAGAGGCGAGTCCGTCTGCCCCGTCCGGAGCGCGGCGCGGATCTGGAGCGCGGAGGAGACGAGCTCAAGAGTCCTCTCGTGTAGAGCAGTAAGGCCGAGGCGCGCGTGGGCCTCGTACCCCCACTCTAACGCCCTGCTCCCTGTCTTCCCCCCGCAGCTGGAATCGACCCGGAGACTGTCCGAGATCAAGGGGCTCCACGAGAAGATCCGGCAGGCGGCCGAGGAGGCCAAGAAGAAGGAGGGGCTGTACAGGCAGCTGGTGAGGAGGGGGGGAGCAGCCGGCCCCGCGGGTGGGCAGGCAGGCTGCGTCTCGCGGGCCCTCCCCGTCGGCCGGAGCTGCACGGGGAACTGTGTAGACCTCAGGCTAGAGCTTCTGCCTCCTGTCAGAAGGCACTTCCAAAGGTCTCTGTGGTGCAGGGGGATCTGTTGGTCAGGGGCTGTGGAGAGCTGGGAGCCGTGCCGTTTGCCCCGGAGCGAGATACTGCCCCGGCAAACCCAGCTGTCCAGCTGAGCATCACAGTGTGTGGCATTGTGATCTCTACAGGCTGCCCTGCCGAGTGAATTAATACTCCCAGTACTAACTCGGCGAAGGGCTACATCTTAAACTGTGAGCTTTTGCAACAGTTTTTTTATGATTGTATACATATGAAACCAGTCAAATTAAAAGTAGAGGAGCTCAACTAGGAATCGGCTGCTGAGACAATCACATTTCCAAGGTCCGATTTGAAAATGAAAAGGGGCCACATGGTGCGTCTAAACAGCAGAGCTGCTGTTTACCAGCGCTGTCCTTCTGCGCTCCTGCTCCCCAGATGACGGAGTTCGAGACCCTGCCGAAAGACGTGTCCCGCTCGGCCTACACCCAGCGCATCCTGGAGATCGTGGGCAACATCAAGAAACAGAAGGAGGAGATCACCAAGGTACAGCGGGCCAGCTCCCTGCTCCTGGAGCCTGAAGGAGACTCCAAAAACAGGCTGTATAGTGTAACTCGCCCCCACCAAGGCTAGACATCAAGGGTTAATCTGGTCAAAGCAGACCTCGTGATCAGCTCTTTTGACCTGTCACCTGGCTCTCACACCTGGCCTTATCACTGCGAACATGAGTGTGAATGGAGCAGAGGGGATCCTCCTCCACAGCTGACAGGACAGCCCAGTGGTTGAACTGGCTGGCTCTCCTGCAGTGATCTGCCAGGGAGGTGAAATTAAGTACTGAGCACACCGCAGGCTCTGTGGGCTGGGCGTCTGTTCCGCTGGCTGACCTGGTGCGTTCATCCTTCCTCAGATCTTGTCAGACACCAAGGATCTACAGAAGGAGATCAACAGTCTGACCGGGAAGCTGGATCGCACTTTCGCAGTGACCGACGAGCTGGTCTTCAAGGTGAGTACTGCTGGAGGTCTGATGCGGGGGGGGGAATGTTCATCAGAAACGGAGAGCTTTCATCAGGAGCTGGACTCCAAGTGATGCGTAATACGAGAGTGAGAGAGAACTCAACTTTGAAACCTTTTGAAGGAAAGGAAAACTGATTTTGCTCCTCCTCCTGTGCATGAAGCATAGACTCTGCTTTGAACATCAGTTTTCAAAATGAGGACCTTTTACCTGAATGAAGTAGCTTTGCTGTCCAATATCGCAGTCTGACATCACAGAGCTCAGTTTGCCCTTTACTCTTATTCAGTGACATAAGGGTTTAGCTTGTATTCAGATTTGTTTCTGCTGAGCTGTGTGACACTTGGGCTGAGTCTGGTGCTCTCTTGCAGGATGCCAAGAAAGACGAGTCTGTTCGCAAAGCCTATAAGTACCTGGCAGCCTTGCATGAGGTATGTGAGCCTTCAGTTTTATTGCTATATCCTGGACAGATCTCCTGTCTCCACTGCCGAGCTCTGTGTGGAGACACTTGAGGTCACTGATTTTTAAGTTCTGTCTCAGCTGTTGCCAGTAGAATACTTGTTACACAGAGGAAACTTGCATCATTCTTAACTGTAGCCCCAGCTGGGCCCTTGGCTACATGACTGAATCCCGAACGAGCCTAATGATGGGATTAATCCAAACTCTTTAATTGTCTGCAGTTCCTAATCATACTGGAGGCTGCTGTTCGGCTGCTGTTCGGCTGTTGCGATGCTTAAGAAGCTGAACAACTTCCAACTTTTGATAACGGTGCCGATCCAGGAACTCGTTCGTTCATCGGGGAATGAGTTTGGTGGGACTGAATGCCTGCAGGTGCGAGGGCCCCTGGGTCCTGGCTTCCTCTTATGGGTAGCCGAGCAGCCTGTGAGAACGGTGTTTCCTTTTCCAGAACTGCACCCAGCTCATCCAGACCATTGAAGACACAGGGACCATCATGCGAGAGATCAGAGACCTGGAGGAGCAGGTACGCTCTCAGCCCGAACTGTTTCTCCTCGTTGGAGGTGATTTCTGGTCCTTTTAAGAATAGGAGCTCTTGTTGCAGGTAATGTTCAGGGGCTCATGAACAGTGATCCATTTGTGTTTTTCTGTAGGGCTAGGGGTCACATATCTGTTGGCCGTGTAAAATACCAGACTCCTTTTATGCCTTTCCTTTTTTGGTTTAAAAAAGTAAGACTTGTTCATGTATTGGAGGAATGGTTTTGAAGGAAGATTTTGCAGAGCACATGCCTTGAATGTGGCAGAGACTCGGTTTTCTTAAAGGCGCACAGTTGCCATCTGGCCCTTTGAGATATGAGCTCTGGCCATCGTTCACTGTAATTCTGCAGTCTGATGTCTTTGACATGACTTTGCAGTCCTACCGAGCCACAGTCCAGACTCGGCGATTCTAGGCGTCTTCTATATAATTTATATATTCAGAGTCCTGAATACACATGCTGTAAAATTCCACTTGTAACTCGGGCTCCTTGCGTGTTAAGTCTAAATTAGTCTCAGGGGTTGAGCGGTCAGCATTTGTCAGGATTTTCCATGCATGAATCACTGAGGGGGTCTGGAACAAGCAGGCCACGCTCAGGAGAGGAGGGACTTCCTGTAAGTCTGCAAATTGCCTTTACTCCTGGACTGATGGCAAGGTCGTATTGGGACTCGGGGAACTAACTGAACCCTTCCAGCCTTTAAGAGAGCAGAGCTCGTGGGGACGTGATTCAGGCCGGCCCGTGTGCGTCTTGTGCCTGTGTACCCCATGGCAGACTGCTGCACAGCCATGCGCTTTCAGATGCAGACTCCTCGGTTCAGGGTGTGTCAGTCCCGCTAATCCACTGCCGTCCTCAGATCGAGACGGAGAACGGGAAGAAGACCGTGAGCAACCTGGAGAAGATCCTGGAGGACTACAAGGCCATCCGGCAGGAGAACTCGGCCCTGGCCGCCAAGATCCGCGAAGCCTGACGGCCTGCCTGCCTCCCCTCCCCCCCCCCAGCCTCCTCCCACCAGGGTGCCAGCCTGAGCTGCAGAACAAAGGGAACTGCCCAGCCTTGGGCACCTGCCTTCCCAGCCCCCTCCCCTCCCTCTCCTCGGCACCAATGAGGGAGGGGGGCGAGGCAGAACGCCATCTTCTGATTGGCTCACCTCCCTGCCACTCCTCTGTGGAGTCTTGGTGTCAAGTCACGGCTTGGCCCATCTGAGCACCTAGGTTGGGTCTGTTCTGGATAGCAAACTTTTTTTTATTTTTTAATAAAAAGCAAAAAAATGAACAATTGGGGAAAAAAACCCAGGTCTAATGAAAATAAGAAACCTTGATATCAGCTTTTGAAGCACTGAAAACCTGCTGGTGAGCAAATGCATGTTTTGTTGAGAAAGACAAGTAATCGTCAAGGAACACAGCGATGAAGGACTCTCACAGTCTGCCTCTGTAGGGATGCTAAGCCGCAGTGTATTAGAGCAGACTGAGGACAGGTCCTGTATGATGTGCTTACAACTGAGAGGAGACTCCTTCTATCTTGGCTGCTTTTCAGGGTCTCTCTGGGGCTCTAGTGAGCTCTAGGATCTGTCTTCGTTATGTCTTTCAAATCTTCCAGACTAAATAACCTGATGTGTAGAACAGGGATTTGGGGCATTTTACTAATCAAGCCCTTCACAAGTACAATTTGCAAACGTCAGATCATTTTAAAAGCCTTTTATCTCGCCAGAATAAGTTTTGCGGTTTTGAATGTAAAACTTGAAAGTGTTGGATTTATTACTGTTTGTATGTTTAAATTCTTGTGGGTTAGCCTCAATTTCAAAATCTTGGAATGTGAACCATAATTTTGGAAGTCTGTACGTATAGTTGACCATACCGATCATTCTGTCAGAATCCAGATGCTGGTGTAGAATTATGAATTTAAAGACGACGTCCGAGAGTTTCTGCCAGCTGTAACCGATACATGCACTACAAAAATAATTCTCGTTAAAGCCCCTTGATCTGAAGCAGTGTCTGTCTGTAACTGAACTGAAAATGTTGACTGAGAGATTGAAGAAATAACTTCTACTGTTGTTAAGATGAGCAAAAGATCTCCTCACGTCATGAATCGGATGAGGGAAAGGCACTTGCCAGCACAAGTTGAGTGCTGTGAACCCGGGTTCGAGGCTGGCTCATGGCACCAGCCAACTGTGACTGGGCGTCCCCAAGCAGTGGCGCTCTGCTGGCTGTGTGCCACCGAGAGAGCCAGCCAGGGCTCTCTAAACTCTGGAACAGCGCCCCCTGTGGCTGTCGGGCTGGGGTCGGGCTGAGCTGCCTGTGACGTGGCGTGATAGGAAGGGGGCGAGTTGGAGGAGCGACCACCCCCTTCCTCACACTTCTCTCCGAAGCTCGTAATTGGCTGTTCCAAACAGAGTGGATGTCGAACAGAAGACAGGCTGGTTGTACGGGCCCGCAGTTCTTCTTGTCCTGTGTGGCTCGTTGTCAGATGTAATTATCCATTGTAGAGTTCTTTTTTTAATTTAAAGCTGCAACAGAGGTGTCCGAAGGGGTACTTTATACAGAGCCAATACTAACTCTTCTTTAGCATGTCTGTTCCACAACTACCAACACTAAACAGCGCTGGCTTTGAGGAGCGATGGCGGGATTGGTCTGTTCTGTAGGAAGCAGCGGCGCTTAGCTGGTGTGGGCATATCTGTTCGGGGAGGGAGAGTCAAGCCCACTTGATCACCACACTGTTGCCCAGTCACACATCCATGACTGCTAGGGGCTGCTTTTTACTTGAGTGCTCTAGTTTACTAGTAGACTTCTCAAGGAGATGGTGTGGTGACAAGTAATATTGCCCCCGGAGTGGTGTATAGAAATCCATTTTTTAATAATGAAAGAGTTATTCATGTGTGGGAGGAGACACTTGTTACATTCTTTGGATCGGAAGCATGTTGGCATATATTCTATAGGGACATGCAAGCAGTGCTTCCACCAGGTACCAGGTATTTACTTCTTGACCTCGGGCCACTCAAACACCTGACCTTCAAAGTCTTCTTTGTAAATAAAAATAACTTCACATAATAGGTCACAATACTATTTAGCAATGTATGATTTAGAGATCTTTATAAAATTGGTAAGATGTGGTGAATTCTGCAACAGGGATGGTGAATACTGGGATGAGATGTTTTCAGTACTTGTTTCTGGACTAGTTGTTTCAATCTGAATACAATACCAGCCATGTCCAGTAGAGGGCAGTATGCATTGACACTTCCTCTCCTGGAGTTTCTACAATACCCCTAGTCATTACACATCACTCTTGAAGAAATCCACAGTTACAGCAGAAAAGCAGTAAGTAGACTTACTGAATTTGTGCAATTAAAAAAAATAATGGTAGAGTAATGCTATTCTAAAATATGTTTTGAAACTGAAACCTTAAATTGCTGACTTGTAGTTCTTTGTCCAGTAATGCTTCCGTTACTAAAGGATTTCTGATTTCCCCTTCTGTCAGACGCACGGGAACAGGCAAGGCAAGGTTACAGCTGATAAGAAGCAACCCATGCCGTCAGCTGATCTTTAGTGGCTAATTGATTCAAGGATCTCACCCAGCTATTCCTTGAAAAAAATGGAGGCTACTGACTTCTGTCCCATGACAGGAAAGCTGGTGTCATATTCCCAACATGATACCCTGGAATAATACTGCCAGGAGTCTGCAACTGGACCGATTCTGTCCAGGACTGACTCTGCTGGGAGTCTGGAACACAGCCTCGTGACTGAAGCCAGGCTGGAGAAACAACATTTTTAGTCTTGAACAGACAAGAATACGACTGGAACTAAACAGCTCCTAGCGACTGAACGACTGGGCAAACCAGCCCCCCCTCTCATTCTCTCATGTTCTTAAAATGTCATCGCCCCAGAGGACAGGAAACTGGTGGCATAAGTGTCAACACCTCCGTTAACAGAGCTTGTTAAAGGACTTCTAAATATACCGATCTTAACAGAAGTGTTAATGAGGCTGTGTGCAGAGGAGAGCTGAAAGGCAGGCAGAGAGCTGAAAGGATTTTTCAGTATGGTGCTCAGTTTATACCAGAGGAAGCTGATGCACATTCTCCACACCCTCTAATCCCAAAGGGGCCAGTAGTGACCACGAGGGTAGTAGTGCGCTCTGCGAACAGTGCAGTACCAGCCACACCTTTTCACAAGAATGAAAACGCCAGAGCCCTGGATGAGAGATATAACATACTTAGAAAAATAAATACTTTTATAAGATAAGAGATAATAAGATAATAATACTTTATTAATCCCGTAGGGAAATTGATGTAGAGGAAGCTGATCAATGCTGATTTATTACAGTTTTTATTTTACTAACCATTAAAATGAAACAGTGGAATACAACAACTCTACAAATACTCAATATTTACAAAACATTTAGTGTTAGAAATGTAAAACAGTGACCGTGTGGCTCCACTCAACACAGCAGCCTTTTCAGGCGAGTGGAGGAGTCGATGCCTTCAGTGCTGTAATCAACACCGATGACCAGAGAGAGCGCGAGGCTGCTGGGTGGACACTGTCCAGCGGGTCCATCCCGATTCCTCCCACCTGCCAGCAGGCGCTGTACTGCCCCAGCACCTGCGCCTCGTACGCTCCCCGCAGTGCGATGTGTCCAGAGTGACCCTCTGGCACTTTCCCAGCAGTCCTGCCTACCTGCAGAATCCAGCAGGGGGCAGGAGCCATCAGTACACTCATCAGAGCTGCAGATCCCCGGGAATAATTATGTGCAGTCCTGTCCTACGCCCCCAACTCTCGGAGGGGTAACCCTGGGCAGGCAAGGCTGAGCCATCGAAACTGGGGAGCAGAGGACCCCAAAAATCCCGGCTGCGATGCACTGCAGGAAGAGAGACGAGAGCGATCCGCCACCTCCCGCGCCGTCGTTCCCAGTGCCGGCCGGTCACCTGCCCTTGGCCACCCAGGTGAAGAAGTTGCAGCGGGCGTCAGGGTTCGAGGCGTGGCCCTGGGGGCGGTTGCAGACGAAGAACTGGCGCCCCAGATTGGGCCCGGGCTTCTTGACGGTGCGCAGCACGCAGGGCTCCCCGTGCGCTTTGCAGCTGGGGGGGGTGGGAGGCCCCCTCAGTACCGATTTCCAGAACCGCTGCGGCTCTTCCCCGTCCCTGTGCTGAGGCTTTTGAGAAGCCCTGCCTCCCTCCTCCTCTTCCTCTTCCTCCTCCTCCTCCACCTCAGGCACGGGTCCGTCTGGCTGAGCTGATCCCGGCAACGAGAGCTCGTTTTCCTTTGGAGATCTCCTGAGACTCAAACCATTCCCCCTGGGAGAGACGTCTTGTCCGGCAGGCTGGACGGACGGCACCACACCACTGCTCTCGGGCGCCCGCGTGGCGGTGGTGCTGCCGGCTGCGCTTTCCTCTGGGGTTCCCCCCACCCTCGCTGGGCTGTCCTGCCGCCCCCCCAGGGGATCCCCGTCTCCTGCTGCCGTTGCGCCTCTGCCTGCACCGGTGGGTCTGGGCCTGAAGAAGGCCAGCAGGTTTCCCTGCTGTCTGGGGCCGGACGTCGCGGTTCTGGCTTTCTTGTTCCTGGAGGCGGAGGGCTCAGCCAGCGGCCGCCTCTTCGTCCCCGAGCCGCGCCCCGTTTCCGCCGCGGGCGGGAGATTTTCTCGGACCTCCCCCGATTCCTGGGACCCAGGAAGCTGGGAGTCAGCCGCCGTCGCCGCCGCGGCCTGGCCCACCTTGACCAGGAAGCGGGACAGTTTCTGCTGGCGCCCCATGAACTCGGGCATGTGTCTGGTGCACAGCGGCGGGCATCGGGGGCTGGCCAGGAGGGCGCAGCGGAGGAGGCCGCGCACCGGACAGTGGTCGGAGCCCTCCACCTCGGGCAGGATGTCCGAATCCAGGAATTCCGCCTCCGCCAGGCCCCGGCTGGCGAGGATGTAGTCGATGCGCGTGCCGTAGTTGGTCCGCCTGGCTCCGGTCACGGTGGACCAGCAGGTGAAGGCGTGGGAGCGCGCCGGGTGGAAGTGGCGGAAGGTGTCCACAAACCGGCCTCCTCGCGTCCCGCCCGCGGCGTCTCGGGAATCCGTCCCCGCCCCCTCCCCTTCCTCTCCCGCCTTCCCCTCCTCCGGATTCCTCCCGGCAAGGAAGTGATCCAGCCATTTCCGGCCGGGGTTCTCGTCGAAGTCGTCCTGTCGGGGAGAGGGAACGTGTGACGGAGGGGTGTTCCCCTCTGGAACATCAGCCTGAAATAAGCCGCACTCTCCTACACAGGACGGCGCCTCATCAACAGAGGCAGAAGCCCAGTAACCTGCTTCCTCGATCTTCTTGTCTACTTTTAGGACACTGCACACAACAGTGAACTTTCTAAGATCACTTTATTAGCCATATACAGTTTCTTGCATTAGGAATCTGTCTGTTCGCATACCCCAGCAAGCTGGGGGTCAGAGCGCAGGGTGCTCCTGGAGCAGCTGGGGTGAAGGGCCTTGCTCAGGGGCCCAACGGAGTAGGATTCCTCTGCCGGCTGCAGGATTCGAACCGGCAACCTTCCAGCCACGGGCGCAGACCCTTTGCCGCATAGTCACCACTCCGCCCTTAGTCCACACCAAGTATTAAAAAATAACATGAACTAGCCAGCGGCCTCTCGAGGGGCTCAGTAAAGATTGTGGGTTTAAGCCTGGAACATGTCAGCCCTTCAGAGCTCTATGCCTGCACTGAGAGAGGACCAGACACACAGAGAGCTCTATGACTGAACAGGGAGGCACTGCACACGTGGAACATAACACATCAATCATCACTGATGCTTCCCTCTGTGAGAGATGTGAGCCGCCCCTGTCAACAGGCTGTGAATCTCACACTTACTACATCATCAGGGTCGCAGTGGTCTATAGGTCTGTGGGATGTGTTGACGTCTCCCAGGACAATCACATGGCTGGGCAACAAGGCACCAAAGACACAAGAGACACGCATCATCTTGTCAGGTTTTTCAGCGACAAATCCACAAAATCCCAACCCCACTGTAAACGACTGCATGCTCTGTGTGAGATCCAAAGGAGAACCAGGTCAATTCAGGCATAAATTCAGCCTCAACGGAAATTTGAGTTCTTCTTACACAGGAGGTGATGCGGTGAGTCTCTGAAGACTGTGATCACCTGCCAAAGGTTCACAAGGGCATCTGGTCTCCCCAAAGTTAAAGAAAACAGGTCCACCAATGTTCAAAAGAAACTCTCATAATCTGGATATACAGTGACAGAGAGGGCAAAGGAGTTTAATAACAGGAGAGATTTCTACGGGCAACACAGGGAATTGAGGTAAAGGCGTTTGATTGAGGCAGAGCTACTGCCAAATCAGCCGAGTGGAACAGCTGTCTCCTCTCCTACAGCTCTGGCCAGCAGACAAAGCCGTTAACAAGACAACAGGCACACTGTAAAGCCACCCAGAGGGGTTTCAACCTCCTACAGAGGCAAAGGACTAAAGCATGATGTGATTTTTGGGGCGCAAGGGCGATGTCAACCGTTCAGAAGGGAGTTTTTTCCCTGCCAAGCTAGAGCACACCCCCAGACCTCCTCTCTTCCCGACTCACCCCCCGGCTCCCAGGATGGCCTCCGCGCGGATCTGCAGCAGCTGATAGAAGCGCAGCTTGAAGAGTCTGCGCTCGGGCTTTTCCGGGTCGGCACGCGGGCAGTACACGTTCAGAACCGTCAGAGTCTCCTCTCTTTCCCCACAGCTGAAAAGAGGGGCGTGCCGGCACATTAACCCTTCATCCCAACGCCGAGCGACTCTCGGGATTCAGGCTTCTGTCCGTCTGGACTGAGGGGCTCCAACGGGTCTGTGCAGGGACTTGATTTTTCCTTACTGTTATCTGACTGTACTCCAGTTTCCTCCCACAGTCCAAAAACATACGGATAGGCTAACCGGCTCCTGGGAAAACCGGCCCTGGTGTGAGCGTGTGTGTGTCGTCTGTGTGTCTGTCCGTGTGTCCCCTGCCTTGGATGTACCCCCGTCTCTGAACTGGAAGAAGCTAGAAAGCAGTTAGAAAACGGATGGATGGTTATTTCACTATTTTCCTGCGATTTGGAATGACCCAGAACTCACAGCGATTCGGGCAGATTCCTCTTGCTCTATTCTAACAGTGATTTTGTTTGTATCTGAAAAGAAAGTCTCGGGTGATTTCGGATGAGCCTGACCTCAGTGTCTTGGAGTGATTTTGTGTTAGCCTGAGCAGAGCGAGCCCCTCAAGCTGCCAGCCTGGAGGGGCATGTACTCACACGATTCTGTGCTGCGTGATGATGGCTCGGCCCTCACTGTCCAGCGTCTGCAGTTCCTCATCAGAGAACTCCGCCTGGTCGCCATAGCAGCCCACTGCCCCGCTGTGATTTGTCAGCAGACCTGTCAGTCCCTCCTCCGCGGCGAATGGAGTGGCATTGTCTTTGCAGAAGGTTGCCACCCCTTTTGAGGAGAGAGGAAATTCTGTGTGACCATCATTGGAGCAGGACTGGTGCTTATTACTGTATCCCCAGACTTCCAGCTTTTGAATACTGAACCACCAGTACCTCTCCTGGGCTGGTGTGGGACAGTGGGCAGAGAAATGTGCAGTGTTGAGTCAGACTGTATAATCACTTTTTTCCAATTTCATTGAGATTAGAGTTAAAATTACTGGTCATTTCAAATTTGTATTATTAGAAAAGGAAAAGGGAAATTGCCTGCACCCCCACAGGTAAAGCAGATGTGCACTCCCGGAGTGATAGAGATGTACTACCACAGATCAGAACTCTGCACCCCAGAGGGACTGGAGCTGTACCCCATGCTGGGCCCCTCCTGGCTCACCTGAATAGCCACTGCGGCCCTTGCTGAAGCTGAAGTAGGAGTTGTACCCCTCCACGATCGCCGTCCTCTCGTCCAGCAGCTCTCCTGGGGCACAGACAACAACATGACAGTCAGGAGAGGGCAGCCTCAGGAGACACAGGGGTTACAGAGGCCAACAACTTCAACACATTCTATAACAACCAGATCCCTTCCTTCTCAGAAAACAAAGTGTCATAAATACCTGGGGACCACCAAGCTGGGTTTTAAGATCCATGTATTATATCAAACATGCAGTGTAAAAGGAATAAATGTGATTTAGCAATTACGTTTGTCAATCCAACCAGGACACCAAATTACTGTCGTAATACACGCTGAATAGGGCTGACTCATATTTTAAAACAGGAGGTGTCTTTGCATGCCGCGATGGAGATCTGTAGAGAAAGCTCACAACGTCTCAAGTGTCAATACGCCTTGTAAGGTAAAACAGTCTTAACGCGCATTAAGACTGAAGCGAGACGTCGCGCTCAGCAGACGCCTTTCCGATTTTGAAACCGCCTCGGCTTCTTAAGGTTATGTTTGCTGCGGTTTGGCCGTGCAGCTTCCCGGCCGTGACGGGTGTCGTGTTCGTGGGTTTCGGCTAAGTGGGACTGAGAGGCAGATCGCTCTCTCCGAGCTCGCCGGGGGCGCTGGGCACCACATCTCTTCCTTACATATGAACAACACCGTACGGGGGACCCGAGCGAGAGCCTGGCGTCTCTCCGGCCGCATGAAGAGCTTCCCTGCAGTACGAGGCTCCTCGGCGGCTTACTTGTCACTTTCGTTTCTTGTAAACAGATGATATCCGCGTCCAGAGCATCCAGGGATTTCTTTATCCCGGCCTTGAACGTCCTTATACCATTAATATTCCAGCTGACTATCTTCATGTCTGTGCGTGTTGGCTGTGCTTGAGGAACCGAGCTCCTCGTCCACATGAGAATAAGACGGGCTCTCACAGACACGAGGAGCCGTGTCGCCGCTGTCGCGTCTGCTTCCCGCCCGTCGCCACAGAAATACGTCATCGGGTGTTTTCCAATGGGCCACGTCCTTTAATAAAACATCGTATGTTTTTTTTTTATCGTCGCTTTTTGGCGCCCAAACGCAGCCCTGTACTTGTGATAAAGATACGAGTTATGAATGTTGGGTAATGCATTTCATGTGACAGATCAAAGGAAAATACCGAAAATATATATATATTTATGATGAGCACACTTCTGTCAATACAATGTTTTTTTTCTCCGTTAATCGGGATGTATGCATATGACTTTTGTTGGTTAATACCTAATGTAGTAGTTTCAGCTAAGACATGTTTTATTTACACATTATCTGTCTATTTTAAGATCTACTCGTTACAAGGCAAAAGCACGAAAATGCCGTTATAATTTCAGGAAATACAAACTAGCCAATGAGAACAGTGTTTTTATGCGGCCAGGATATACGACGACCAATAACAAACCTGCTGTACGCTTACACCTGCTATGAAACTGCTGCCATTTCGGCTCAACAAAAGGAAAGGCAAAGGCTCTCGGGACAGGCTTTAAGAGAATCGTTGAGCCGAAATGGCGAACACATCGCCTCAGTTTCACAACGGTCCAAGGAGAGGGACTGGGCGGGGGGGGGGGGCTAATGGACAGCGGGTGCAGCCAATCGTTTTAAAGAAGACGCGTTCCGACTCGCCCAATGGTAGGCTCGGGGAACGCCCAGGAGGCGTGGCCGGCGGGCGGGGGGCGGGGTCTGTGATGTCGGTGCCGCTCGCGGTGACGGGCGCGCGAGGAATTTCAAACATTCGGGACAGGAAGAGGAGCCGGGAACAGGGGGAGCGGGTCGGCGACACCAACACCGACACCGACACCACCGAGCCACTCCACTCACCTCCGCACCGCCTCGACCCGGAGGGTAACCCAGCCCGAAGCCGAGGCGCCGTCACCGGGAGCGGCCGGGCGCGCCGTGCCGTGCCATGACAGGTGGGTGTCCCGGCCAGGCCGCTGGGGAGGAGAGGTCCAGCCGCGGTTCGTGTCGCGGTTCCCCGGGCGGAGAGGGGCGCCTCTGCTCCGGCCGGGAGCGCCGGTGTCTCAGGGACCCGGGGGAGAAGAGCGGGTCCGGCCCGGGCGAGCTGCGGTGCTGATCGCCCCTGAAGCCGGTCTGCTCCGGGTCTCGGCGCGCTGCGTGGCGTTGCGAGTTTGCAAAAGTGCAAGAAAGAAACCTTGTTGGTTTGTGTGTGTCTGTGTGTTTGTTGTTCCTTCTTGCGAACGGCGCGATCTGATCGTCACTCTGGTGGGTAGTTCCGTGTGTTCGCGGTTCCCCAGCCCAACCCCGTCCTGCGTTTCAGGAGCTGACGCTTTTAAACGATGTTTTTTTTTTTTGTTGTTTGTTTGTTCGGTTTTGTTTCCTGGTGGGTTTGTAAACAGCGGCGGTGTCGGTGCCTTTGCCGAGGTCGCTTTCCAGTTTGGGTTTTTTTTTTTAAGCGCCACAGGTTTAGTTCTGTAGTGTCGAAAGGTTCTCCTCGTCCAGCTCATCCCGTCGGGCCGCTGGTATTCCTGGCCGCGGGCACACCCTCCCGGCTGGCGGGTCGGGACTGTTATCCTCGGGGTGGAGGGGGGTTACCAGCCTCACCAGCCCTGCCCTGTCCTGTCCCGGGACCCGCTCAGCCGGGGCGGCAGACAGGAAGCGGGGGTGGTGAAGCCGGCTGTCACCTCCGCCCCCCCCCCGGGGTGCCCCGGGTCCCGCCTCAGCGGTCGGAGCTGCAGCTTTCCGGTCTCCGACCCCTTTGCGGGTGTGGGGGTGCAGGACTCGCGCTCCGGGGTGCTGGTGCTGCTGATGTCTGAGCCCGTTTGCATGCGGACCCGCCCCGCCCGCCGGCCGCTCTCTCCACCAGCTGATTGCACCGCGATGTGGGCGACCGTCCGTCCGTCCGTCCATTCCTCCTGCCGCCGGACCAGCGGGCTCGGTTCTGCCCTTCGGGCACAACACACGTTCGCTGGCCGTTATGGATGATCCGAAAGAAAAAAAAAACAGTTCATTAAAAATGAAGCCCTTCGAGGTGGCGATGAATCTCTCCAGCCCTGCGTGTGATTAGATACGACACGGTATCTCTCAGCTGGCACACCTAGACCTAGACCCGAGAGGCGGCCTGTTGGATTAGCCCGGAGAAGCAGGGGGTGTCCAGTAGCGCTGGCTCCCCAGGGAGAGAGGCCAGGCGGGGTCGTGTCTCCAGGGCCTCTGGTCTGTGGGCTCTGCTCCTGGAGTGTCCGAGCCTGTGGTCACTCCGCAGTGGGTCAGCCTGTCTGTCCGCTCTGTGTCTCACAGCTCTGTCTGGGGGCCCCCAGCAACAGGCCACAGTAAGTGTCCTGAGCAGCAGGAAGGCCAGAGACACCACCCTGTTGTTTCCGTTTCATCACTCCACAGCACTTTGTTCCACAGTGCTTCCAGTTTATCCAGGTTTTTCCTTCCCGTACCTCAGACGTTGACTTTTGTGATGAGGTTGTAGCTCGGGTGACCCTGCTGTTCATTGTTGTGTAAACACCGTCTGCTGTGGCCCAGTGGACAGCTACTCCTGTGAGGGTCCTGCTTTGCGGTTCTGACCGGTTTTCAAGCAGCTCTCTCAGCGGTTTTCCAGATCCTGCCTTGACTTCTTTGAAAAGAAGAAAGAGAGTTAACTTTCTTAGTGATGTTTCTGACAGCTGAAATTGCAAGCTGGACGTGTTTCGATACCTTTTTACAGCCTCTCCCTGCTTTGGAAGAGTGAATGATCTTTAAGTCCTAGAGGAGCCCCTAGCTGGTGAAAGCAGGCAGGACAGCAGTCACAACCTGGGGGCCAGAAGCAGCAGAGTACTTGTTCAGCCTTGGGACTGTCTCCACCTGACTGGATTTAAGGCCTAATGAATCAGTCAGGTTATGGGACCCTTTGAAAACACAAATTAAAAACTAGTAATTAATCATCTGAAAGGGTGCCCAAACATTTGCACATGCCTCATTCGTTTTTTTCCCCAGTGTTAACCATTATGCAAATTATTTCAGAAAGATGTTGGGTTTAACCTTGTACTATCTAGAGGTTGTGTTGCCTCGTGTTCACTTAGCACAGCAACTTGCAACAGTTTTCCCACAACTTTATAGTGTGTAGTGAGGCAGTGTTGAATGACAGTTTGTGTGTGAGCCATGTTGGGAGAGGCTGTGTGTTTTGATGGGATTGGTGTATAAAAGCAGATGTGCAGTGAGAGAGGGAGTGGGTGTGTCCCAGTCGTCTGTGTGGTTCACTCTGGGATCTTGCAGTGCTGTGCACTGGTCCAGGCAGGGTGGATCAATCTGGGATCTTGCACAGGCAGGGTGGATCAATATGGGATCTTGCAGTGCTGTGCACTGGTCCAGGCAGGGTGGATCTCTGAGCCTGGACCCCAGCCAGGTTTCAATTCAAGTGGAACAGGTGCTGTGGGATGTTAGAAGTAGCCTGGGTCTTGGTTGGGGAGGAAGTCGCTCAGTGCCGGCTGAAGAAATGAGATTAAATCGTTATTGTGACATTTATAGATTTAATTGGAAGCCAGACCGTTGGGCAATGTTTCTGCCCGTGTGAGGAAAGGGGATACCAGAGGCGGAGAGCCGTAATATCGGGGAGACCAGTGGTTTGAGGACAACAGTGTCTCACTAGAGGAACGAGGGGGGGGGAGGTGCCGTCTGACCACTGATCCCGGAGCCGGTCAGCAGTTCGTGACCAGCAGGGCAGCAGTGACCGTTCTCGGTTGCACACGGTCAGCTCTTCAAGTTCACGATGACCTGTGAACTAGATGTGGTCTGTTTAAAATCCAACATACTGTAGATTGGATTTGCTACACTGATTCTATAGTTGTCAAGAGTCTTGTCTTTGTGCCTCATGGATCTAGGTGCTGGATTATAGTGTCTTGGGCTCTGACGGGGGTGGGAGTCTCTGCACAAACTGATCTGTTAAGGAAAATAAGCTTAAAGGATAAAGTGTTTTTCCTTGATCCACCCCCTGCAGGCTTTTACAACTCCAAAGCAGCTTCCCGTCTGTCCCACTAGTGGATCGAACAGTGACTGGGGGCTGCAGTACCTGCCCTGTTTAGATTTGTGACCCTCGTCGCCCCCAGGCAGGAGGCCTTGATAAATCCTGGTATATCAGGGTGAAAATAAGAACGGGAACCGATGACAGGTGGCTGTTCAGCTTGTGGTGGCCATTCGGTAGTGAGGAACATTGGTCTAAGGATCTCATCCAGTTGTTTCTTGTGAGAAGCCAAGGTCTTGGGAGTCAACAGCACGGCTGGGATTCTAGTTCCACACTCCCACCACCCTTTGGGTAAAGAGGGGCCTCTTGTTCTCAGTTCTCGGTTGTGCTTCCAGAAGACGGGGCTTCTGCAGACTGACCTGACGGTGACCCCAGAGAAGGCGGAGCCGGGGCCTGTCCAGGTGGGGGGGGGCAAGGTGCCCATTGCACAGGTGGGCTGGCCTCGCTCTGGCCACCCCTGTGAGCGGATCTCCCAGAATGCACGTCCCAGGGCCCCCTCGCACAGCGTGAGGGTGTTGCGCCTTGTCAGCGCATCACCCGCGCTGCGTTCGGAGCGCGCCGTATAAAGGTGCTCTTTCCAGAGCGGGTCTCCTACACTGTATCCCCCGCAAGCCGCCCACTGGGGCTCTGATTGTAGGGGGGGCGGCTCCGTGGAGCCCCCAGGAGGCTGGCTGTGCCGCCTGTGTGAGCCCCCGGTCCCCTTGTCTGTTTGCAGGGCAGCGAGCCGCAGGCGGCGCATGAGCCCTGCGCGAGCGGAGCGCTGAGTGCCGGGGCCATGCTGCAGGAGGGGGAGGCCGAGGCCGAGCTGCAGCGCCTGGCCCGCGAGCTCCAGGAGGCCAATGAGGAGAAGCTGCAGGCGGCCCGGTACGGCCTGGCCGTGCTGGAGGAGAGCGCGGCCCTCAAGCAGAGGTACGCCGAGCTGGAGGGCGAGCACGAGGCCCTGCGGCAGGAGCTGCAGCAGCTCAAGGAGGTAAGCCCCGAGCTCCGGACGCGGGACAGCCAACGCACAGCTCCTGGAATGACCATTCGGTTTCGACAGCGGGGGTTGTTCCCCCCGAGGGTGGAGGTCGATCTGGCTTCCCAGGAGAATCCAGGATATTGGCTTCAATAATAGTAGCTTGTTTCAGACTGACCATCCAACCATACCTCTCCCCTCGCCGTCCGGCCTGACCCTGCAGACTGACCTCTCCTCGCCGTCCGGCCTGACCCTGCAGACTGACCCCCCCCCTCGCCTTCCGACCTGACCCTGCAGACTGACCCCCTCTCATCAAAGTGGGGTTAAGATAAGTTACCCTATTTTAAGAGCATCAGTTAACTCCCAGCTGGGCGTGTCTTGGTAGACTGCCACAGGGAGCAAAGAGCCCTGTCTGATCAGGCAGTTTTATTTGTAATGTGTTTATTGAAGTTTCCTCTGAATGGGTTGACTTTTCTGCACTCACACCCTTTAAAGAAGTGCCTCATGTCTCCACTCGACTCACTTTCAGAGTATGCTGTGTTACTCTACTTTTTGATGAGATTTAAGGTTTTTGTGAGTTTGGGCTGTGGTTGGCTGAGAGCCCGAGGCAAAAAAGGGAGCTTTTAATATGATTTTGTTGTGGAACATTGGAAATTCCTTCCATCTCCACTCCTCCACTGTAAACAAAGGAGAGTGTTCACAGCACACTGCCCCCGTCTCGGTCCCGTGATGGTGTCTGGGCCAGGGCTCAGATGGCAGGATAGAGCCCCGCTAAGATGATTGTGTATCTATCTAGATTTGCCAAGATCAAATAAGCTTTTAATAATAATGTATTTGATTGGACGGATTTCAAGGGTTTTAAAAGCTTTACGTTGAGCATTGGGGGAAAAAAAAACTTTGCCGGAGGTCGTTAGTGGTAATGAATTCGGAGCCCGAGCGTCGCGGCCCAAGATCTGACACCGTTAACGCCTCAACACTCACGAGCGCTTCTGGGTGCCGTCGGACACACTCTCTTGAAACCCTCGGGCTCTCCGCATTGGTGTCGCTTTGGGTGACAGCTGATCAGCTGGCTGCCCAGAGCCAGAGCTGCTGTCCGTCAGCAGCGGTGCCTGGGGGTCTGGGTTGGGGCGGCAGTCTCTGCCGGGGACAGGGTAGCGGTCAGCCGTGCGGAGAGCCGTCAGGAGCTGGCCAGCTGCGGGGGGGGAGAGCTCGCCGAGCGCGGGGCCCTCTCGCTCCCCGCGGCGGTGGGGTATTCACCCGTCCGGCAGGCCGCCCGACACCTCTCCCAGCTGGCCGGGTCTTCCTTCTCACCGGCCCTGGGGATCCTCATGTTCCGAAGCTCCGGCGAGTCCCGGGACAGGAAAGGGCGGACTGGGAGCCGGGGGGGGGCTCGTTCCGGACGAAAGAGCGGGGCCTTCCGGATTTTCGTTCCCAGCCAGTGGCACAGAACCGTGATGCCGAGGTTTTCCCTGTGCCTGATATTTGTTACTTGCGCGAACACCCCCCTCCTCCCCCACCTCTGTCCATGAGCTCAGTCGCTGTTCTCGTTGGTCTGGTGCGGTGTCCGGTCATTCGGAATGCCGTTCAGGAGATGCTGGATCGCTGCTAAAATTACTCGGTCTAAAACGGGCCGAGTGCGGCCGCCAGCTCACTGTGCTGCTCCTCCGACGCCCGTTTCCAGTAACTCGATCTGGCAGGAAATAGAGCAGCAGGAAAGGTCGTCTCGAGCCTCGCTTCACTGAGCCAGAGCTTGTGAGGGAACTCGTATCCACCTGCAGCTGAGAGTGAAGAATTATCTCCGTCTCTCCTCGTGTACCGGACAGGAGCAAGGAGCCCATTCGCTCATCCAGCCTGTTGGGAAGTTTAGTAGTTCATTGATCCGGGATCTCATCCAATTTTTCTTTTTAAAGCAGCCAGGATATTGGCTTTAATAATATGGCAGAGTAGCTTGTTTCAGACTCCCACAAGCGTGTGTGTGTGTGTAAAACAACTGTGCAGTGTACTCGCAAGTCCTCTTCCCTGTACAGCCCTTCCTCCTTGTCTGTGGCTGTTGTGCTTGTGGTGTGGGGTCAGGCATGAGGAGTCTTCCTCAAGCCTCAAGCTTCTAGAGCCCTCTCTGTGGCTCACAGTTTCTCACACTGTCTCTGAGGCACAGTTCACAATTCGAAGGAAATTATCCCCTGTTGTACCTGAAGAGTAGGGCCCTCGGTAACCATGGAGGTAGAGTTCTCCGAACTGGTCCAGAGCAGAGCAACCAGCTGCGTTCTGGGACGTAAAGCAGTGTCTTGCGCTGAGTGGCTGAAGGATCTGAGCCCCTTTAGTCCTGAACAGGCACCTGACACGGATATTCAAAATCCTCTAGGGCCCCAGACAGTCCGTTCACTGGAGTCGTTCAGATTCTCGCATGAGCCACAGGACACAAGTGGAAACAGCCTCGACTTTAAAAGTTCATGGGCTGAAAATGTGATTAGTTCCAGGGGTGTGTTTTTTTTAAATGTCAACTAGATTACTGTTTCAGCTCAGCTGCAAACCGGTTTCCAAAACGCATTCATTTCCCTCCTAGACTTTGTAAACGTTCACAGCTCATTTTAACGGTAACTTCGCTGTGTGCTTCTGGGATAGGCGATACCTTTAGTCAACTTAAACTGATGTCACTGTACTGTTTTATGATGTCATCGTTGATCGTCTCGGTTACCTGGGTATTTACTGGGCTCTGAGCTGTTAAAAGCAGACCAACAGACTGGACTTTGTGTGACCTAAAGGCAGCAGTGTGTTTGAAGAGTTTGTGCACCAGGATACCCTAAAAAAATTAGATGGGCGCCTGTCTTTTAAAACCACAGCAACATTTCGGAGAGGCGCCAGGGGTGAGAAAAAAAAAAATTTAATAGACGGACATTAACATGAGCACATTGAACGTTCATGTGGGTGGTTAATGGTGGAATTTCGCAAGACCTAGAAGTGGATTCAGTGAAAATTGTGATGGACTCACTGATCGGAAGCTGTGAGCTACGTCCTTGGTGGTGTGGTTCAGTAGGGTTGTGTTCACCTAGAGCTGGAAGGACTCAGTTTTATAGTTTACAGATCATAGACATGCTTTGAGAGGTGCTTCTGTATGGGACTGATCTCATGAGGTTACAAACCATTGCAATGTGTGTGTGTTCCTGAATGTTACTGTTAATGGAGAGTATGTGAAGAGCAAGACTTCTTTTAACTCTGTCAAGACGCTAAAATCTGCGTGCAAGTTAAACGCCCGATTCCAGTGACAGGTGTCTGGTCACAGAAGTCAGAAGTTATGAACACATGATTGATGATTCACTGCTTCCTGAAAGGCCTGACATATATAGCTTACAGAATGAGACATCATTTTTGTAAACGGTTGTTTTTGTCTTCAATAGAAAATATTTGACTTCAAATATTTGTAACATAGTGACCCTCCCAGTTGTTCTGGAATGTGACATGATTGCATTCTAACTCCGTGGCGACAATGTGGCCGAGTGGTCCTCTTGGTTGCCTGGGTGTTTCGTTGCCTTGGTTACTGGAATGAGATGACATCACTGTTCAGCCGTGGCTTCAGTGATTCGTTAGATCCACTTAATCTAGGTCACTGGGTTTCAATCCCAGAGTGCTTGGTTCCTCCTGAAGCAAGACCGTTGCTTTCGCACCACTGGTTGCTTGTCATGTTTTGTGGGATGGATTTCAACATTCCTGAACAGTTTTTTAGCTCCTGAGAGCTGTTAGACCCTGTGGCTGAAATAGCCAGTATGAATCCCAATCACTGGTCTGGTCTAGTCTGCTCCTGGTCTAAATTTAGAGGTGTTCCTGTCCGGGCTTGTATTAGTATGGCATCTGTGTTCACTAGGGATGAAATGGTTCATGTAAGACTGTTGTAGAAGGTAAATAAAGGTTAAAAATACAGAGTGAAGCTGGATGTTATTCATGTTCCCTTTGGGTTGAGTAGAATGCTCTGGGAGTGTACGTGCAGTCTGTGAAGTGTCCCGCGGATCTCTGTGTGTTTTACAAGGATCGGAGAGGCCTGCAGGGAAGGGGGTTCGCTGTCGGGTCGCTGGGCAGCAGGGCCTCGAGTTCGCTCTCCCTCGTGCCGGTGCTCGGGGACCGGACACAGACGGCGCCGACTGGCCGGCTCACGCGCGGGCCAGAGGGGTTCCAGCCGGGGGTCACCGCCCTGACCGCGCTGTGCCGTGTCTCCGCAGGCGCTGGCCGATTCGGTGAGCAGCCACAAGCGGGCGGCGGCGGACGGGGAGAGCCGGGAGGAGACGCTGCTGCGGGAGACGGCCAGCAGGGAGGCGGCGCTGGCCGAGAGGATCGAGGAGCTGCAGGCCGAGCTGCGCCAGGCCAGGGTGACCCTCGCCAACGCCCAGGCCGAGGGGGACCGGCTGGCCGCCCTCTCTGCCCAGCTCAAGAAGGTGAGGCCGGGGTCGCCGTGGGGACGCTCCTGGTACTGGAGGCTGCGGGCCTTACAGTCCTGGGGTGTCCTCGTGAGCCCTGGGGGCATTGTCTAGGTGTCCTCCACCCCAGAAGGGCCGCTGTCCGGCAGGGTTTAAAGGCCTCGTGAAACCTCCAGCTTCAGGCCTCCGCGTGTCCAGATGAGCACACGGTGAGGTCAGTCAGGTAGCTAAGGGTGCAGGAGGAAGGAGCTGTGCACCCCTGCATCAGGAGCCCCAGAAGAGTGTGTGGCTCCCCCCTAGTGCAGGTCAGCTGAGTAGGGTGTGCCAGCGCTGAGGCGGAGCTGGCCCGCGCTGCCGAGAGTCGAGCTCGGCTGCTTCCTCAGGAAGCCACACGGCAGCGTGATCTAACCCCGACGCAGAAGCAGAAGCCCTGGCGGCTCAGGGCTTCGCGCGCGACTTTAACCCTGTCAGCGGACGGCACGCCAGCGCGTCGCGACCCACACAGGCTCCTCTGGGGTCGTCCAGCCAGGGAAGTCTCTCTGGCTCGTTATGCGTGGAAAGCATCTACCTTTTTACAGCCTTTGTCTGCGGGTGCAGCAACCTGCAGGTGGCCAGCTCTCTGTTTCGGCCCTGTTTTGGGGCCTGATAGTAACCACACAGGAAATCAGTCATAAGTTATCTAAAATAAAGAGCTGTGCTTTATTGAGGTAGG